GTCATGGAGGACTTTCTCCCGTGAAGGGGACCCCACGTTGGAGCAGGGGAAATGCGTGAGGAATCCTCCCCCTGAGGAGGAAGGAGCAGCACAAAACAACAGAATGATGAACTGACCCTAAACCCCATCCCCTGTTTTCCCCCTTGTGCCGCTGGGGGGGAGGAGGGAGGAAAATCGGGATCAAAGTTGCACCTGGGAAAGGAGGGAGGGGTGGGGGGAAGGTGTTTTAAGATTTGATTTTATTTCTCATTACTCCTCTCTGAGTTAATTGGTAATAAATCACATTTTCCTTTCAGTTGAGTCTGTTTTGCCTGTGACGGTAAATGCTGAGTGATCTCCCTGTCCTTATCTCAACCCCACAAGCCTGTTGTTATTTTCCTCTCCTCTCTCCTGTCCAGTTAAGGAGGGGGAGTGATAGAGTGGTTTTGGTGGGCACCTGGCATTTTGGCCAGGGTCAACACACCACAACGGGGCTGTGCCACAGAGCCAGGCTGGCTGCAACGGCAAGAGCTGATGTGGACGTCTCTGTGGAGGGTTGGCACTGTCGCTGGTGGCAGCCCAGCTCCACCTCACCAGGGCCTTGGAAATAACGTGTTGGAAAAGTGAGGCAGGAAAGAAAGGGGGCTCAAACAAGTTGCAGCAATCTCTGCAAAGGCAACTTCAAGTTGTGCAGTGGATCACAGTGTTTTTGTGTTGGTGGCGGCAACAGCTAGTCAGAGTAAAGCTATATCCTCTTCAAGTAAATGTGCTGCCCCAAAGAAGAGCTCGTGCCTGCAGGGACCTTCTCTTGGACCACTGTGCTTTGTGCTTCAGACATGTATGTGGTAGTGCTGGGTTCCCCAAATTATCAGTGCCTCAGCCAGCAATGGTAGCCTTCCAAGAAAAAAGGAAACTTGGAAGTAGCAGTTGGTGGGAGGGGAAGTTCTGTTTGAAAATTGAGGAAGTTGCATCTTCTCCAGAAGAACCTTCACTTTTGTGTGATGGTAAGAGCAGGTGATGCTGAAGGAATTCCAACCTTTCGCATGATGAAATGGAAGACTTCAGGTTATCTTCTAGATGAAATCTTTATCTTACTTCATGCTGGTATGGATGCTAATACTGATACACTAGTCTGACTCTCGTAAGGTGTTGGCTGACAATTGTGGCATTATAGTGTATGTAAGCAATGCCAGTTGATGCATTCAATAAAGAAAACCTGTGAGTAACACTATGGCACCTTACATGCTCAGAGAAGAACCTCAATTTTGGTTCTAGGTGAGGCTGCCGGAAGAGACAGAGAGACCCAGACCATGGTGCACTGGCACTGAAGGGGTTCCTCCTTCAAAACTCTCAGCTAAGGTTGAACACTGAGAGTGTTGGTAAGGTCAGTTGGAGGAAAAACTCTGTTAGGTCCCTTCTTTTTTCTCAGGGCATTTGGTTGTGCTGCCAAACGGCACAGCCTGTTTGGTTCCTGCTTGTCCAACTGTTGCATCACCTTCTCCTTTTTCTTCTCTCTTCAGGTTATTTCCAGGATTTGTTGAACAAGTCAGAAAAGGCCCTTTATGATGCTTTTCCAAGCATGTATGGAGAATTGTACACTCAAAACACGAAGGTCTTCAAGGACTTGTACAGTGAGCTACGCCGCTATTACCGGGGCTCCAACATCAATTTGGAAGAGGCCCTCAATGAGTTCTGGACACGCTTGCTGGAGCGGCTTTTCAAGCTGATGAATCCCCAATACCATATCACAGATGAGTACCTGGACTGCATGGTTAAACATGCGGAGCAGCACAAACCCTTTGGGGAAGTTCCCAGGGACCTGAAGGTGAAGGCAACCCGAGCCTTCATCGCAGCACGCTCCTACGCACAGGGCTTTCTTGTGGGCAGTGATGTCGTCAAAAAGGTGTCTCAGGTATGTTGGGGTTCTTCCTTCTCTATCCTCAGATTGGCAGGAGCCAGTCAACTACTGCTGTTGGGGAGAGGGGAGGGTATTTTCCCTTATGTTTTTATTACAAAGTAAGAAGATATTTTTCAGTTTTATAAAACAAACCTTCCCTTCACCCATCAGTGGAAGGGAGCAGCAAGCCTGGACTTCTGCAGCGCAGGAGAAGCAAGGTGTAACTCACCACAAATCAGTCTTTACCTCATTAACCTGTGCAGCAGAGTGTCAAGGAGATGTCGGTTTCCCAGGCTGTAAAGCTGTTCTGTTGCTCGTGCTTCCCTGACAGGGAAATGGTGTGCCTCTAAATCACGCTGCCTTATTTTCCTCCTTGATGGCAATATGATGTAGGATGCACAGAGCTGACTTACCATAAGTGTGCTGGGGATACACTCAGAGAGATGCGTTTCAGCAGTCAGTGATGGGATTGCTGTGTCTGTTTATGTAGCCATGTATATTTGTACATCTTCTGTGTACAGAGAGGGTGAGTTTGTAAAGTGCGTTAGGATCTTCAGGGATGAAAGGTGCTATATAAATGTAAATTAACATGACTGAATCCAAGGTTTCAGGAGGAAGGAAATTGTCTGTATTCTTTACTGCAGAAGCAGCCTTTTGGAGCCAGAAGAAGGTGGTTGTCCTAAAACAAGATATTCAGGCTTTTCACACAGGTAGCAAGGAGAAAATCCATACTAAAAAAATTCCTTCATACTGCATGTGGAGATGGCAATCAGCAGGTGTGAGAATCAGGGCATGATTAAACTGTGAATGTAAACATATGAAATCACAATTAAATTCCTCGGAAGGTAATGTGTGGTAATGCGTAGCAGAGGGCAGTAGTATTTGATGCAGCAAATCCAGACTTTCGTCTCAGGAAGAAACATTAATGTGGTAACAGTGACAAATGCTTTAATTTATCGATGTGGGACTATAAAACTGTTCAGCTACCCAAAAAGCCTTTGTGCATCTCATTAACATCACACTCTCCTGACACTTAAGACAGATAGAAGAGGACAATGATGTAATTTCAAGGAGACCAAAGTAAAATATTTTTCATAAATCCTCTGAATGGCAGAGATTTCCAGCTTGATGTGCGTGGTTCTGCCTGTAGCTGAGTTTGATGGGTAATGCAGGCTAGCAGGGCAACTGCAGTCACAGTGTCAGTGGAAGGGAAGGACCTGAGAAACCAACATGCAGCATATTTTCCTCCCACTTTCATGTGGGCTTCTGACCCGTTGGATTTTGACTCTGGTCCCCCCTTTCTGAATTCTCCATCTTCTCTTGGCATCGCTTATCAAATGGGATGTGGGGTACACGACCAGTCACAGATCCTCCTCTTGCCTCTGCCTCCCCTCAACCCTTTGCTCCAGGATGAAGGGTCTTCTAAGGAGGGTCCCAGCCATTCCTCTCTCTCACAAGAGCCCTCTCTTGGGGTTGCAATTAACCCAGCATGTTGCTGTCATAGCACTATCTGCATGAACTGAGTCAGGAAACCTCAGCAAAACCTCCTTGAGAGCTGATTTTGTAATAAAGGACAAAACTGGCCCATTTCCCCTGTCTTCAGGAACGGGTTTAGTACTTTAGGCAAGAGGGGGTGAGAATGCTAAGGTGGGAAATCCATTTTATGGGTGCCGTGGTAGGCCTCAGCTGTGTCTAAAATAAAAGGCCTGGTTTACACACTTTACCAGATGTGGATTTACACTAGTGCCAAACAGATGTGAAGTGCTGAACTTGATCTGCAACTGGTGCTTTGGTTTTAGTCATTTTTCATGTTGCTTTATACTTAACGATGTTAGGAGAAAGCGTATAAGACTTTTATTAAGATCAGAGACTGGTATTCGACTTTCCTGTCAGCTGGTAGCATCAGTCTTTAAAAATAACTCTTTGAGCTGAAGTTTCGTACAGAGTAGCAGTGAGTGTTTTCGTCCGGAAGTCTGAGAAAGCCTGTTTAAATGGACAGTTAGAAATAAATTACCTAGCTTTCGGCTTCTGAAAAATTAGATTACTTTGATTTTATTTATTTGCAAATCCCAGAAAAGCTACTGATTTCTATTAAAACTGTCCTGGTTTCGACTTCTCAGGCACTTCCAGTTCAGTGTTAGTCACCTGCATCCTATCACTGTTTCAGGTCCTTGTGCAGAGTTTGCATTACTGGGCATTCTAGAGAAAGACTGGTGCTGTTTCTTAAAATGGGACAGAGCCTGACCTGACTGACCTACAGGCGGCGATTTCATGAGATTTCTTTAACTCCTGCTGCCTCTCTGCTCTGCCCAAGGGGCGTTTCTTCCCCAGCCCCTGGCTGTCCGCTTTGGGCAGCACTTGTCCCGTGGCTGGTGGGTGCGCAGGGTTAGGAATGGGAGCAGTGTGCTGGGAGCAGGCGCTCTGCGTCCTGCTGGGGATAAAAAGTTTGAGGGCAGCTGCGGAGAAGATGGCAAACCCGTTTTTCATCTTTACTGCCATCCTAGCTTTTAAGGCAAAGTCACCCTGACAGACTGCAGGCTCTGACACCAAGATCTAAAGCTTTTGATGCTGCAGTTCCTGCCACCAACCTGGCCCCATTCTGACAGCAGCGGAAGTGCTGCCATCTGCACGGCAGCTGTGGGAGGGGGCCGGGGGGGGCTGGGGCACACGCGTGGCTGATGTGGCTCTTCACAGTCCGGGCAGAGTGGCAGGGCTGGGGATGGATGTGCAGGTGGGTGCCCTGCCCTGGTACAGAGTTAGAGGATACCAATGTGCCATGTGTGGGTGGGGGGGTTTGGGGCAGCATCTCTGTGTTCACATTCAAGTTGTGTGTTTCTGTAGCTATTCTTTCAGCCCGAATTGCAGGTTTTCATTTAAGTTGCGTAATGCCAAGCGCGTTTTTCATCATCTGTGTGAAGTAGCAACTACCAAAACAGCAGCAGCCACAAAATCCCTAGTGAGTGGCATTCAGAGAAGGGGCTCCCCCATGGACGCACATCATGCTGTGTGCCAGGGCAAGAGAGAAGAAATATCCCCATTTTGTTTAGGATCCTTTTCTTTGGTTGTGAGATTGGCAGCTGCCCAAAAATAGCATTTGCTGCAACTCCGAGCTTCATGTGAACAGGTGAAGGCCTTGTGCTGGGACACTGCCTGACAGCTCCTGCTCAGAGATCTACACTTGGTGCGAGCAATTGCCGTGTTCGGCAATGAGAGCAAGAATGCGCTCCTGTGAAATACATGGTGTAGGTGAATTGAAATACTGGGGGGAGGGGAAAGCAAAACTGAGATGGTAAAAATGGCAAGGGCTGAGAGATAACCCCTTATAAAATGAAAGCAAAAAATCCTCGGAGAGAAGCAGCATGATAAACAGGAATATCCAGGCTGGTTTTGTTCATTGCTCACATTACGATACTGCTCAGGCGTCTAAGTCTTTGGTCAGGACTGTGGCACAAAGTGCTGTGCGGACAGATAGGAGGAGTGATCCTGTCTGCACAGGGCACCCAAAAAGGGCAGTGAGACTGTGCACAGGTCTCTGCTGGCCTCCTGCATCTCCGCAGCATGCCCATGCTGCGCCAATGGATGGGAGGAAGAGCTGCCCTGTGCACATCAAAAAATATCCAGAGTCCTCAGATTCCCTTCAGAACCTGACAATCTTTGAATCTCGAGTGAGAGCACAGAAAAAGTAAAGAAATAATGTTCCATTTCCAAAGGCAGGGAGAGGAGGTGTTTTTAAATTAATTTTGCTCATCAGACAGAAAGTGAGTTATTAGGATAGTCTTTCTTTTGCTGGATCTTTATTGCTTCTTGCTCCTGAATTTTGAGTTTCCCCATGGTAGTAGGGATTGATGTGAAGCAACACCAGCTACATAAGCAAGAAACACTTACTTAAATAATCAATTTCAATAGTTGCTTGCATTTCCTTTTCTCAGTAGATGTTCTTAAGGCTGATTCTCACTTGAGTTTGAAATAAAATGTGATTATTTTCTTTACTAATTGTAAGTTTTTTCACTAAATCCTGTATTTCATTTTACCAATGAAGGTCATCTATCAGTAGATGATGATTTTTATTGAAGCAATTGCTTCTTTATGGAAGCAATACTGTGTCTCACAATACATTATTACTGCCTTTTTTTAAAAAACTTTTATGTTAGTATAAGCTAAATGGCAGCTTTCCTCTTTACCATATGAGTAATTTTTAAACACATGGTGGGTCAAGCTGCATTTGGATGGGAACTGAATTCCGATTTAAAAGGCCTAAAAATAGCATTTTTATGAACTTTTTTAAGAGTTAAGTGGATGTGCTGGACACATATGGAAAATAATGTTTATCTAAACATGCTTTACATTTCCAACAAGTCAATAATACAACAAAGACAGTGTGGTCATTCCTGGTCCTCATGTCCTTTAAGATTGTAGCCATTTCTCATAACCCACTTTTTTCCATAGCTTGGAAGGACATAGTTGACTTCTGTCTTTCAGCTTCCAGTTGCTTTTAGGGTAAAGTAGGCATAAAATTGATCTGACTGAATAAAATGAAGAATTTTTTTTTTTCACACGCTTATGAAATCACTGTGCTAAAACAGCTCAAATACAGTGAACTCCTGTCCCATGTGCTCGGTGACACGTCTCCATCCTTTCAGTGCCTCATCTTTATTCAGAGCATCAGCAGCAAGTACATACAATGATAAATAACATTTATTTCATTTAAAGGATTTCACTTTTGTAATAAAAGTAAGCATTTGTCTAAATTGGCCTCCTCTTAACCCTGAAAAGACAATATTAGTGTTTGTATGTAGATGATATGAGAATGTTGTTCCATGGCACTGGTGAGTGGCAATATCCTCATATCACCGTATTTATTTCCTTTTCACTGGATGTTATCTCACCTCTTGCTTTGGAACTGTTCGGTTTTTGCACAATAGAGGTGTGTGTTCTTGCGTTATGATGATGACCCGACAGCAGTATGCCATTGTGCAGAGGCTAGCTTTGTCCCAAGGAGCCATAAGGTGCCACAG